TGCTGGTGCTGCTGTTGCTGCTGCTGTTGCTGCTGCTGTTGCTGCTGCTGCTGTTACTGGAGTTGGTGCTGCAGCAGCATCAGGGCCTATAAGCCTCTTGCCTACTGCAGCAGCAAACTGCATATCTAGGGTTTTGAGCTGCTGCTGCTGCTGCAGCGCGAAAGCCTCAAGCCTCTGCACGAGCTCCTCAGTAGACAGCTGCAGCAGCTGCTGCGGTGTGGGGGCATGTGCTTCTGCTGCTGCTGCAGCAAGAGCTGCTTCTGCTGCTGCTGCTGTTGCTGTTGGTGTCGCTCCTGCTGCTGCTGCTGCTGTTTCTGCTTCTGCTGCTGCTGCTCCATATATCTCAACAAACGACAGCTGGTCACGAGCAATAGCTGCTGCTTTTGCTGCTGCAACTCGCAGCAGCGGCAGCAGCGGAGCGAATGCAGAGGCTTGCTGCCGCTTCTGCTGCTGTTGCTGTTGCTGCTGCTGTTGCTGCTGCTGCTGCTGCTGTTGCTGCTGCTGCTGCTGTCTCGTTCTACGTTGCAGAAGGGGCGTGACGGGGTCTTCCTGCTGCTCAGCACCTGCAACTGCTGCCTCCACCGTAGCAGCAGCAGCAGCAGCAGCAACAGCAACACGAGAATCTGCTGCTGCTGTCACCTGCTGCAGCTGCTTCACGAGGGCCTCCATGGACCCGCAACCCCAGGGCCAGAGGGGGCCCCTCAGGGGGGCGAAGGCGGAGCAGCAAGAAGCCAGGGCCTCGCCGAGTTTCTGCTGCTCCCTGCAGCAAACACCAGCAGCAGCAGCAGCAGCAGCAGCAGCAGTGGCAGCAGCAGCAGCGGCAGCAACAGCAAGGTTCACAAGCAGCGCGAGGATAAATTACAGCAGCCAGGCAGCACCACAAACACAAACAGTAGCAACAGGAAAAGGCAGCAGCAGCAGCAGCAGCAGCAGCAGCAGCCAAGTGTAACAACAGCAACAGCAGCAGCAGCAAGGAGAGAAAGCAGCAGCAACAGCAGCAGCAGCAAACTGAGACACACAACACCTAAAGAAGAGACACTGCAGCAACACCCCCACACAAACACAAAACTGCAAAAACAGCAGCAGCAGCAACAGATACAGCAGCAGCAGCACGCAGAGCAGCAGAAACAGCAGTAGCAACAGCTGAAATAGCAGCAGCAGCAGCAGCAGCAGCAGCACAGCAGCAGCAACAGCAGCAGCTTAGACACTTACGTATCCTGGATGGAGGAGCGAATGCCTTGCAGAGGCTTTGACGCAGCGGCCCTAACTGCTGCGCCCTGCTGCTGCTGCTGCCGCTGCTGCTGCTGCTGCTGCTGCTGTGGCTGTCGAGGGCCCCCAGGCACAGCAGCAGCGCGCTGCTGCTGCTGCTGTTGTTGCTGCTGCTGTTGCTGTTGCTGCTGCTGCGGCTGCTGCTGTGGTTTGACCAAGGGGACATTTTGCTGCGGCTGAGAAGCAGTCCGCTGCTTCTGCTGCTGCAGCGTAGCACCAGCAGGAGCTCGCGCCTGCTGCTGCTGCTGCTGCTGCTGCTGCTGGGGGAGTCTGGGTGCAGCTTTTGCAGCTGGTTGCTGCTGCTTCGCTGGTGGCACAACAGCCGGTGCTGGTCTCTGCTGCTGCTGCTGCACCTTAGGCTGCTGCGATTGAGCAGTCCGCGCAAGCTGCTGCTGCTGCTGCTGCTGCTGCGGAGCTGTTGCTGCTGCTGCTGCTGCTGCTGCTGGTGCTGCTGCTTGTGCGCCGAGTCCAGGTGCAGCCGCAGGAGGGAAAGAAGAGGCTGCTGCAGTACTCCGAGGCGTCGGCTTCTTCATCTGCATCTGCTGCTGCTGCTGCAGTTGCTGCTGCTGCTGCTGCTGCAGTTGCTGCTGCTGCAGCTGCTGCTGTTGCAGTTGCTGCTGCTGCAGTTGTTGCTGCTTCTGTTGCTGTTGCTGCTGCTGCAGTTGCTGTTGTTGCTGCTGCAGCTGCTGCTGTTGTTGATGCAGCTGCTGCTGCAGATGGAGCCGTGCTGCTGCTGCTGGGGGAGCAGGCGGTGCTGCTGCAGGCGCAGAATGAGAAACGGGAACAGCAGCAAGTGCTGCTGCTGCTGCTGCTGCTGCTTTCGGCATGTGTGGTCTGCGGGCTACTGGTGCTGCTGCTCCTGCTGCTACTGCAGGAGCAGCACGGGTTGCTGCTGCTGCAGTTGCTGCTGCAGCAGGCGCTGCAGCTGCTGCAGCAGGTGCTGCTGCAGGTGCTACACGCGCAGCTGCTGCTGCAGCAGGTGCTGCAGGCGCTGCACGGGCCACTGCTGCTGCTGCTGCTGGAGCAGCAGCTGCTGCTTTAGCTGCTGGTGCTACTACTGGAACTGCTGCTGCTGCTGCTGCTGCTGCTGCTGCTGCTGCTGCTTTGGGAACAGCCCGCACAGCTGCTGCCTTCGGCTTGGGGGTTTGTTGACCTGGAGAAACAGCAGCTGCTGCTGGCTGCACCGGGAGCTGTCGTTGCTGCTGCAGCTGCTGCTGCTGCTGCTGCAGCTGTTGTTGCTGCTGCTGCTGCAGCTGCTGTTGCCGTTGTTGCTGCTGCAGTTGCTGCTGCCGTTGTTGCTGCTGCAGTTGCTGCTGCTGCATGCGGAGGGGCGCTGGCGGCGTCTGAGCAGGGAGTGCTGCAGCCGGTGCTGCCAGAGCAGCTTTCTGCTGCTGCTGCTGCTGCTGCTGCTGCTGTGGCGGCGGCAGCGGCGGCTGTTGCTGTCGTTGTTGCTGCTGTTGCTGTTGCTGCTGCAGTTGCTGCTGCTGCGCTGGTGGGGGGAGCGGAACCTGCGGTGTTTGCTGCTGCCGCCACTGCTGCTGTACGGGGACTCGCTGCGGCTGCTGCGGTTGCTGCTGCAGCTGCTGCGGCTGCTGCTGCTGCTGCTGCTGCTGCTGCATGGGCTGCTTCGGCTGTGCGCTCCTTGTGGCTGTTGCAGTAGGCATTGCTGCTGTTCCTGCTGCTGCTGCTGCTGCAGCAGGGGAAACGCTTCGCTGCTGCTGCCCTGAGGCTTTTGTCGTGAAGGGCTGCTGCTGCTGCTGTGGCTGCTGCTGCTGCTGCGGTGGCTTTGGTGGCTGTGCTTCAGGCTGCAGTTGGAGCTGCTGCTGCTGCGGTTGCTGCTGCTGCTGCTGCTGCTGCTGCTGTCGTCTCGGGGGAAAGCTTGTTGGTGCTGCTGCTGCTGTTGCTGCTGTTGCTGCTGCTGGAGGCGTTGCTGCGGTTGTGGGGTCTGAGAGCCGTTGAGGCGCAGTCCCTGGTTCTCTATGTTGTGGCTGCTGCTGCTGCTGTTGCTGCTGTTGCTGCTGCTGCTGCTGCTGCTGTTGCTGCTGCTGCTGCTGCTCCTTTTCCCTCTTCCTGCGCATCAGCTCTTCAAAAGACATGGGGGCGTCGAAGTCTCGGCTGCCAGCAGCAGCAAAAGACTGAGACACCGGTGCTGCTGGTGCTGCTGCTGCTGCTGCTGATGCTGCTGCTGGTGCTGCAGCAAAGCTGGGGGAAGCAGCAGCAGCAGTAGATGAAGCAGCAACTGGCACAGCAGCACCAGCAGCAGCAGCAGCAATCGATTCAAATGCGGGAGACGATGCCCGTCCTGCTGGTGTAGAAGCTATTCGTGGGGGTACTGCCCGCTGCTGCTGCTGCTGCTGCTGTTGCTGCTGCTGGTGCTGCTGCTGCTGTTGCTGCTGCTGTTGCTGTTGCGGCAGTGGAGGCGGAGGCGGCTGCTGCAAGGCTTGCTGCAGCTGCTGCAGCAGACGCCCCTGTGCAGTGGTTGGTATCTTTTTGGTTTGGGTGGGGCGTTGCTGCTGCTGCTGCTGCTGCGGCAGCTGCTGCTGCTGCTGCTGCTGCAGCTGTCTCCTCTGTAGCGGCGGTGGCTTGAGGCGTCCGTCTCGCGCAAGCCCCCCAGCAGCAGCAGCAGCAGAAGCAGCAGCAGGTGGTGATGAGATGGTGACAGCAGCAGCAGCAGAAGCAGATACGGGGGCCCCAGGAGAGGAGAAGGAACCGTCAGCAGCAGCAACGTCAGCAGCAGCAGAAGCAGCAGCAACAGCAGCACCAGCCTTCTTCATGCGTGCCTTCAGAGCCTGCAGCTTTAAACTCCAGTCCCCAGATGCAGCACGACCGGGGGCCGCAGTCTCCTCCATTGTCGTGCTGCTGCTGCTGCTGCTGCTGCTGCTGCTGCTGTTGCTGCTGCTGTTGCTGTGGCTGTTGCTGCTGCTGGCGGTGATGTTGCTGCTGCTGCTGATGCTGGGCCTGCTGCAGTGGCTGCTTGTGAGGAGTCTGCAGCTGCTGCTGCTAGGAACGAGTTGGAGGAGTCTTTGTTGCTGCTGCTGCAGCTGCTGCTGCTGCAGCTGCTGCGCTACTGGTGTAGCTGCTGCTGAGGATCTGCTGCAGCAGCAGCAGCAAGCAGGAGAGACACAGTTGCTAGACCCACAGAAAAAGCACAGACAGCTGCTCTGCTGCTGTTGCAGTTTGCTGCTGCTCCTGCTCCTTCAGCAGCAGCAGCAGCAGCAGCAGCAGCCGATGCCTCAGCCCCAACACGGGGCCCCCCTGCCAGCAGCAGCAGCAACAGCAGCAGGAGGAGGAATCAGGTTGACAGCATATATCTGACGGCGTGGTTATACTGTCTCCTCTTG